TATTTATTCACCCATTCATTCATTCATTCATTTATCCACTGGGTCAGCTGACGGCAGGCTGTTTTTTATGCGTCTCACTTGTTTTCAGGTTGAGTTAATAAGCTGCTATCTTTTCGAACTATCCTTGACGGAAACATCGATCGTTGGATTCTCTGCGAGTATCCGCTGTGCTGCTGCGGTGAGGCTAGCACGTCACTTGATAGATTTGGAACGCATCCGTATACAACAAACTCGAAGTTCCAGTCCACTCCTCTTACATCCAGATCGACAGCAAGTGGAACCCTGGCCCGAAATACTGATTCGAAGTGTAGGTCACGGGGACACACCTCGGTTACGAGCCGTTTGTCTCACTTATGTTCGTGCTTTGAGACGATTCAAAACTGGTTTTTCCTCTACTACTGAGAAATTCGAAGTAAGTGACTGTATATTACCACCGATAAGCCTTGACCATAACGTCATTTGAGAAAGCATCTTTTTCGGATTCCAATTGACTCGCTCAATTCCAACCAGGTGTAGCGAACGTGTGGTAGTTAACTGTCTTTGTCTGGTGCCCCGCCTGATGTTTAGAACACTACCTTCTAGGTGGGTGAGATTTTCAGGGCCCAAGGCTCACGGTTTGACCTCGGTGGTCAAAGTCGGAATCCTAATCAGGCCAACACGGAGACATCGTCGTGGTGCCGATAATTAGTAAAAAGTCATCATTTAAGTGACCGAGCAACAGATTGCAACAGAGACAGCTAGTAAAAGCAGACTTATTAGGATTTGGCTTTGATGAATCCAACTTGATTATCTCGCTCATAGTAGTCTTATTTAACTGATTATGGTGCATCAGACCGCCTCATGTTTAATTTTGTATGATATTTGGGATATCGCAATATATCGTCCAAACGTGACATACCACACATAGGGTTGCTGAGTCCCACGTCAATATCATTTTCGTGGCGAATTGCTTTCAATTTGGCTGAGTCAAGATCATTTTCGTGGCGAATTGCTTTCAATTTGGGTTCAAGTAGAACATAAAGTTGACCGAAACTCGGGGAATGCGCTTTCGTGATGAGTCCTAGGAAGGGTGAAACTGACGTTGGACCGTCGAAGAGATTTTAGCAAACATATGAGTAGTCTGTTACGCCTAGATTCACTAGACTTAGGATACAGTCAGTCCTTCTGGTAAGTCCAGAGTGTATCGCTTTGTTTTTTTAATGCAGCAGTGTCATTTGATCTAGTGTTGGGTTACCTGGTTTAGTTGTCTGCTCTGTAGCTGTGTATCTTACGTACCGTTTGTTATTTACGTACCTGCTCCTAAACGAAAGGCATTTAAGGCCCATTTTGCGGGCTTGGAATAACCGAGGGTATCAGGTATCACGTTTACAGTATGACGTTTGCACGAATTCTTAAACCTTTTAAGTAGAACAGAATGTACTTATTCGCTGTATCCAACGATCCTGGTCTGCGTTCGATCTTAGTAAGTAATACTGATGGTTAAGCTCCACATATTCCGCCTGGTCGATTACGTTTCCCTGTCCTAAATGAGTGAGGTGTTCGTTTGGGCAGGAGTGCAGTCTGAACCTTGCAATACATCTACCAATTGATGCCCTAATTAAGCGCTTTAGATTCCCGGTTGAAATAAAATGGGACAGAGGCCAACGGTGGCAGCAAAGAAAGCTTGAAAAGAGAGGTGTCTAATCAGAATCCCAGGGCATAAGATTACAGCAAAGTCTACATAATGGTGTAAGTTCCTAAAATGCGCACTCTACTCACAGGGATAGGTGAAAGACTCAAGTATTTGGAGTAAAACTCACGTATAACCCCGCTGCTTTGTCGCAATCTCCTCACACCTGGCTTAATGGACCAGATCGTCTAATTTTGATGTCACGAAATCTGAAACCTATGAAGCTGCTTTTGTCACGTATTGAAAACAGTTATGGTTGAAGCTGAGGGTGTAAAATGGTTCTACAACTCTGAGAGATTAATCTCAGGATGATAGTGGCTCTGGAATTAGTAAACCAAACTGTTTCAACTCTCCAACTCGATAGCTATAATCCTTGAGAATGAAACTCATGCAACACCAAACCCAAAAGGCTGGGTAGGGAACTCACCATACAATTTTGAAAAGCTTCACCCCAGCAAGTCACGTGTGGCAACCAGATTTCGACTTTGAAATACGGCCTAGCGTGGAGGTTGCCTTGCCACATATGCTTAACATAACGTCAGATCTAAATCCAGTAAATTTTCAGAACCAGATGGTCTGCAACCGACTTGCCTCATGATGATGGCACAAATCATCGTTCACCCACTGATTATTCTGCACAGTCAGTCACTTCTAAGGAGATGATAATTGGGCAGTGAAGAAAAGCAAGTGTATTATCAATCCATGAGGGTGGAGATCTAACTACTCCCTTAAACTATCGACCAGTAAGTCTGGAATGTGTGCTGTTGCATGTCTTAGCGAACATCATTGGAGATAAAGTCCTAGTAAATCTGATCGGTCTGCATATCTTGGTTAAATGCCAACGCGGATTCCCCAAAGCTATTACGTCTCACGGAATCCATGTCACCTGGACTTCAGTTCGGCGTTTTCCTTGACAAATAACGGCTTGAACCTGAAGAGCAATAAGATCAGCTGAGGCATTTTGGTGTGCGTGTGCGTGCGTGTGTGGTTGTGTGTGTGATATTTTGATGTCGTTGTGTCTCAAACCGAGCACGTGACAAGCAAATTGTCCTAAGAATCAATATTTAATTTTCTGTTATTTTTATACGTAACTGATCAGATACCTGGACTAGACTATCAGTATTTCATTTTGACGGAGGACGTAATGGGGAATCCGCTCACCAGCATGCTATGGTCACATTTACAACAGTTCCTGAAAAAGGGATTATTACTGGACCTCTTATCAAGCGTGTCCAAATCCTATCTACTCAGTCAACAGGTTACCAAATCCCAACATCCCATGGAGGTGGCATCCGGAGTTCATATCCTGAATCTGATTAAACAGAATTGGGAATTAGGTGCTATTGTTTGCGGTAACTTCGAGGTCATGGAGCGATGCAGACCACCGACAAGAAAGACGTGGGGAGCAGGTACTCAGTTCTGTGCAGTACAGAAGACTGGAAGTATTTTCTAGGAAACTACGACAACTTAGGTATTGTGTGCAGGCCTGATCTCCTTCCCTAAAGAAGGGTGTTGGATGCCTTGAGAGCGTCCAATGTTAGTCGATAGGGAAAGTTATCGGGACTTAGGAGATTGAATATCCTGAAAACTCTAAGGCATCCGACCTCTACTCTCTTGAAAGAAGAGGAACACGAGGAGACCTGATGGAAAATTTTAAGGTAGTGTGACATTAACTCATGGAGGTGTTGGGCTCTAACAGCAGTCTGCATTAAGGGCTGCAAGCAAAGAACACCGTAATGGAAGATTTTTTTTGTCAGAATGTAGTAAACACCTGAAATAGAATTCCGTTCGGTGGAGCAGGTGCTTGTAACGAAGACCAAGTCTGGGACTGCATGTTACCAGGAATCACTTAAGGTAAACGATAGTCCATTCGTGAGTCTTACCACCCATACCTCATAAGAATCGTAGCACGAATTATGACACCAGAACCGGTCGCCTGTTGCCGATGATGGTACTGGAACCTATGGGGAAGCATGAAATGACAGGAGAAAGGATCTCTTTGGGTACTCGGAGGATATAAAAGTGAAAAGGGAGAAGAAAAAATATAAGTAGGTAAATAGATGAGAACAAAAATAAATAGGCAGGTAAACAGGAAAATAACCGGATAGGGATGAAAACTGAAAGGAAATGTTGCAACACAGCAGGAAAGTGAAACTAAATGCATTGACCTTTGAATTTCTGTCTGCCTGATCTGACCGCCCATCTGCTCCCTGGACAGAAACCTGGATGGAATTAGGAAACAGGCTGTCATGTCCTGGATTCTTTCTTATTCTAATCTCATTTGAGCTTCATTATCCGATCTAAACAGTTCACACATCTTGCTGGTGGCTAATATAGACGTGTATTCGGTGCCCACATATTCTTATGCACGGTACCTAAGTGTCGACTTTTTAGTGAGGAACCCTAAAAAGCGGTAAAAAAAACTTACTGTTTATTCATGGTGTCAATTGACAAGGTCGACGGATAGCTCAACGTTCACCTGACATTCTGACAAACTGACAAATTCATAATCTTCTTTGTTTCCAGGCAGCGTTTCACAAATTTAGTAATCGCGGTTATAAAGGCGTCGCTCAGTGCCCTACAATCAAATACTGTGAACTTGACAATATTGAAAGGTCGCTATGCTCTTCGTCATCTTCAGAGCCCAACTCTTAGTCACACTCGAAAGTGGTAAACTGACCAGAATAGTCCTTTTCTGTCGAGAGACCTCAAGGCTTTCGCCGAGCTGTAAAATCATCATCCTACCACCCGCCACCCACGGCACTCTTCATGCAATGAACCTCGGCCGCTGTCGTCAGTAATTTTCTCCAAAGCATATTATTTTCTTTCAGTTGTCTTGGTATTCTTTTAAAATTTGCCATGAAAAATTTGTTTCTTTTTTATTATAAATTCCGTCTTGCCAGACGTCTGACTTATGCTCCTCTAATCCTGCTTCCACTAGTGAATTCAAATTCTCTCCAAATGAAATAATGTTTTCGTGCAAACATCGCTACCAAGGAGAATATAATGTAATAGCTCAAGCCAGTTGGAGCTCTGACAAAATACATAGGCCCAGTTACTCCAAACCTGTTGATGAGTAGATGAAGATCCTAATTATGCTTTGGGTTCGGACTGGTTAAGTCCAAAATCTTTCCCAAGCCTGTTTATTCTACACTATTTACTAAATTCGGTTGGTAGCTTCAAGAATCCCTTTGATGTTATCATAGGAATGGCTGACGGCCTTTTGGTGTCCGCTCGTGACCACTCACATACACAATAGGTTGTTTAGTACTAGCTGTGGAGTACTAAACGCGGATGTGAAGACTGGAAGTTTAGTGACGCGGATTGTGTTTTTCTACCGTCTTTTGAGCTAACTACAAAGAGTACAATGGCGTTTTGCGCCAACATGTCGCCCTCATCAGTTCTAATATGGATATCTGATGTTAGCGTTGATCAGTAAAAGCAGTGACGATGAGCCGTCAACAGATAGTTCCAGTTTGTTGAAGTTATATCGAAATGCCCAAAGAGGTTTTGAACAAAAATTCCTTAAAATTACAACTGACTGAGTAAATTCCAGAATTTAAGGGGGTAGGTTCGTTTCTGGTGGAATTATTACGTGAGCCCAGCCTTTCAGTGTCTAGACTGCGTTCCCGGCTTGAGGCCGATGCTGTATTACTTATGAGGATCGACAGATAGCTGGAGTGACTTATTGACAAATAAGTCATCGAAGTTGATACCCATTGTAATTTCATCGTGTTAAGCTTGACTGATGGCTTAATACAGACTTGCTCGCATAAGCTCCTCGACCTTATTTCCTCGGGTTTGCATTGGCGCCAGAAGTGTGCGTGCATCACCAAATCCAGATCAGCACAATTTGTGTGACCCAACAATTATACGCAAGAAACCAGTATTCTGACCAGCAAGCATGTACACTCATCAAAACGTATGAGCTCGTATTTCACACTGGTCTTAGAAGTTCACCCAAAGAACTACTTAGCCGTTTATCAGGGGAAAGCTACTGGAACTTCCCAAGAAGGAAAACCTTGAACAACACTGGTCTTAGAAGTTCACCCAAAGAACTACTTAGCCGTTTATCAGGGGAAAGCTACTGGAACTTCCCAAGAAGGAAAACCTTGAACATGGAACCAAAGAGTAAGTCTGTGGTGCATATATCAGGAGCCTAAACGAATTCTACACGATTGCATCTGCTGTGACGTAGGAAATCAACCGAGGCTATCGTGTTTCTCTACCTACCTGCAGACCGTGTGGGTATAGCCCTATTGCGAGAATCCTACTATACGTCAGTAAAGTCATATTACAAAAGGTTTTATCCAGATTCTCCTGTCCAATGAGGACTCGGTTTAAACGAGGGCGTCAAGAGCAAATCTAACACCAAATCTGCTTGAGAATTGAATTCGGGTAAGCGTCAACACATTTTAAACCTGTGTACGTTATCTTCATTTCATCTATTCGTAGCTGGAGAAATTGCTGTTGGCTAGACAGAAAATTTATGAATATGAGTGATCCAGCTGAGAAAAACGTGAGAAAAGGAAGCGGTTCACGGAAAGCTGCAAATGCTGCTGAAGACGATCAGTGAAGTGAACCATATTACTTGGTCTGTGGTCTCATTCGTCTCGCTTTGCTTACTTATTGATTACCGATTGTGAGGGTTGTGTGAGCGTGATCCCTAAGCCAATCGGCGGGCTCCAATCGAGCAGTTGGTCCATTAGCCAATCAAGTCGAAGGTAGGCCAGACGCGGCGACTTCGTCAAGGTCGTCCGGGAATAAAAATAAGCCCATGAAAATATATTGAGTGATCCAACTGAGAAAAACGTGAGAAAAGGAAGCGGTTCACGGAAAGCTGCAAATGCTGCTGAAGACGATCAGTGAAGTGAACCATATTACTTGGTCTGTGGTCTCATTCGTCTCGCTTTGCTTACTTATTGATTACCGATTGTGAGGGTTGTGTGAGCGTGATCCCTAAGCCAATCGGCGGGCTCCAATCGAGCAGTTGGTCCATTAGCCAATCAAGTCGAAGGTAGGCCAGACGCGGCGACTTCGTCAAGGTCGTCCGGGAATAAAAATAAGCCCATCAGGCTGCTTATGTAGCTGTTTCTCTGGCCTGGTAACAGAATGTTCTGTTCGGTCGCATTTCCGATCAAAAAGGGACAATTGAGTAATGGAAGAGTGGTTAACCTATTTTGAAATTAGCCATCTCACGAACTGTCGCCTTTACTGGACTAAAATTCATCCCATTTAAGATCTGAATGTGTTTTATTCGCCAGTAGGTTAAGTTATATCGCCAGATTTTTGTCAGTTTGGATACGCGCGGCGATGGACAAGCTGCGAAAACTGTCAAGGAATACCCATTGTTATTCTTTGCATTTGGCGCGCACTACAAGAACAGTTATGTTAAAAAAGGCTCATGACAAGCAGTTCATTCCAGCTTTTGGGCATTTGCAACTTTTATAGCGATGCCATATCGTTTCTCGAAATCTTGCAGTTTCAAACCGTTAAGCGTAGGAATTTTTAGTACCCAGTGCTTTACCAGATCCATCTACGTCCCTATTGACATCTCGTTCGACTTTTCCGCATCTGTCTTAGACTTTCAGGCAATCCAACTGCTCATTTGGTAATACTGTGATTAGAATTAGAAGGTACTGGTGACCTCGTACATTTTGGGCGTCAGTCTTCACATACAGAGTGCTGGATCAGTCACGTCAAGCCAGTTTACCAAGGCTACACATAAAGAAATGTCTGGAAGAAACGACTGAACTGATCGTTCCGATCATACGTGGTCCGTATAATAGACTCTAGCAACCAAACCTGGGAAACGAAACACCTAAAAACCCCAACTCTGAATTGGGATGGAGTGCTAAGCTGTTTGAAGTTGTTTTTTACCAAGAAAAATAAAACTTTGTCTTTGAAAGTTCATTTTCAGGAATTGAGTGATTCCTACATCTAGCACTTGCTGGCAAGGAGATGCATTTGGAGGTTGAAATGCTAACTTAGTGCTGTCGGGTTGGAATATGGATATGTATCACTTATTCAGTGTCACTCGAACTCTTCTCTTTTGCCGAATCATATTTTCATTCAGCAGACGAAGTCATTTTTTGAGAATATCTTTTGTTAACCATGCCCTTCTGTTGGCTTCCAACATTACAACCAGCTTATCCGTCTTCTCGTTGCTCTCTTGTATATACCAAAATTTCGTGGATAGTAAATGCTCCCAACAACATAGTGATTCGCGATCTCGTTTGTTTCGTAGCTACACACAAACAATTCGAACACGATCGGCTAAGAAAAGTTAGTCGTTACTCATTTTTGTGATAACCAACACAGCAGCGCATCAGCATGATAGAACCAGGTATATAACGTGACGTCATGATAAATCGAGCATTGTATCTTGGCAACTACATCACAGTGAAGCAATTTAACCTCTTCTAGCTTAGAAATTGTGTTGGCAACACGTCAATCTGCCGTTTATCCAATCTTAAGAAGCATGCATAGTGCACCATGTGTAAGCTATATCCCAAACTGGTATGTCATCATAATTGGTCCTTGGTTCCGTCATGTCGTTCACTGGATACGTTAACAGTTTCTGGAGACCATACAACAGTCTGCTAGTTTTGCTTTGTCTGTGTCTTTGGGAATGCCGTTGCATTGCATAACCCACCGCTGGTTCTGTCATGGTGATCATTCCACACCTCCTTCAGTTCTACAACCTCCAGTTGACAAGGCGTGTTTACAGCGTGTCACATGTCCTTGATTGTTTTGGCAGCCACGCCAAACTGAACCAGCTTTACTGGCAACTATAAATAAGATGTGAATTTATCCGGCAAATTTCACTGGCAGCCAAAATTCTGTTTCATTTGAAAAAATCAAAATCATTGAATATAAAGAAGACGAATATCCAGTTGGTGTTATGAGTCAAAAATAAAAAGTACTAGAATTCAGTGGAAGGTTGCATTACATGAGGGAAGAAGTTAAACAACGGATTTACCTGCTTCTACTTTACCTGCTGAGTAGCTTGTTATCACGTCCAAACTGTGCGATCCCCAGAAATATCCTTGATAAGCAGTAGTTTTAGTTGAAATCTATTAAAAAGTATCCTTCTTAAGCTCATGAGGAATGAAGTACGATCATGTAATAAACACGGAAACGATACCTTATCTATTGATTTCCGGTAAAACAAGTAAACGAACCAGTGTGGGTCAAAATTTTTTCTTTAAAAATCGGCATCTCAGTTCGTAGAAAATCTATTTCTCCATGTTAGTGTCATACACATTCAGAGACCATACATGTCCTTCCTGAGTGGTAGCAGTTATAAGAGAATGACTGTATTGCAGCCCATGCTGACAGTCTATCGATTGTTCTCCATCGATTGACAATTGGCCAATCACTGTTAGGTCGGTTTCATAAGTCAGAGACAGAAGATAGGCCAGTCCGACAAGTCCATCCGAGAATCAATAAAGCGTGTTGGGTTTTCATGTCGGAATACGTGTTCTCCTTCTCGGAAAATAAAATGTCCGGTAGTCACGTCTAGACATTGTACAAAGCTTTTCGCCCACAGAAATTAAAGCCGTAAGCAATCCAAGTCAAGGGCACGTGATTTCATGACCTCTGCTTCCAAATTCCTGAGACAGAATGACCCCAAAAAACCGCACATTCCCTGGTGTTTTTAGAGTGACGCGTAACTGATAGGAAGAAAGTTAATTTTAGATATTTACGCAGATAAGGCAAGAAACCTATAAAATAGACCGGATATCGAATCATCGTTGGTTGGTGATAATAATGCAAACTATGGTTCTACCGACATATTGGCCGTTGAATATTCAAAGCAGTGTTTCTCAAGCTATGCGGCAAAGCCCTTAAGAGAGGAAAATTCTCCCAAAACTTTACGTTTCGCTTTATGG